ACTCACTAAACTCGTTAGCTTTATCTAATTTAGCATCGATAGAACGCCGATCTGACTTACATCGACATTTCGATTCTTTATCGTATGAGGAGTTAATTCGACTATGCGAACATCTCAATATTCGAACACAAAAACTGGCAGGCGAAGGATCTTACGATAAAGATTTTCTTGTGGAAGTTTTGATCACTAAATACGAGAAGAGAAAAAGTCAGATTGATATGATCAATTCGACACCTTTATATCCTGATGAAGTAAATAAAATATTTTCATGTCGACAATTGTATTTCTTGAGCTTTTTCTTTAAATTTCTACAATTTATTAACTATTTATTAAAGAATGCACTATTTGATGACGCAGTTGTCAAGACGCAATTCTATTCGGGCGAAACTCCGTTGGCTCTACCAAAGCTTAACCTACAGTTTCTCACTATTCATGATTACTTGTTACGTAATTTCAACCTATTTCGGCTTGAGAGTACATATGAAATCCGTCAAGACATTGAGGATGTTGTTAAACGTTTAGCGCCACGCATAACGTATCCTATCGGTAAGACAGAATTTACAGGATGGGCTCGTATGGCTGTAGAGATTGATCGTTTCAGGTATTTAAAGCGGAGGAATTTTTCATTCGCGTGGATTGATAATGTGCATGGAAAACTTATATGTTAATTGTTGCTCGTAGTGTTGTAGAGGTTGGAAAGCCTAACCTCGGAGAAGAGCATCCATCCCTTGTCAAAGCTGATGTAATTATTTTTCTTTAAAAATTTTTTTATTATATATGATCGAATTTAAAACCAATTTTATTATTAGATCACATTCAATATTGGTCGATACACGGAATCAATTCGTAATGAATGGGATTCTTTGAAGCAACACGATGTTTTGTTTCTTTTAACCATTCAAGCGCATGATGAAACTGGTGAAAAATACCGGGATGATATGCCATTCAGGTGCGTGTCAAGGATTAAATGATTGCTTGCATGATTTAAATTTTTTAGGCTTTGGGTTAATATTTATCACGAATTATAGACAGCATTTTGGCTTGAAATATGTAAGAGGGTGTGAATTGAACGAAATTATTGGTGATGATGGTAAATAAATTAATACTTTTTATTTATTCTATTGTATTATCAAAATCGAAGTCCTGTTATTCAAATACACCATAACGAATATATTTTGCGATAAATAGGTAAGCCAATCGATGAAGTTGGCAAGCCTCGTATTGACGACCGAAGACCTAAAATTTCCGGTAACGTGAGAACATTGCGTGTACTTTTAGATACTAATCAGTATAAGGTGAGGCTTTTTATAACGACGAGTACAATACATCGATTGATATTAATTATATAAAAAAATTAGATCGATATGGACCGATATTCTCGAGAAAAAACCGAAGACGTATATGAGACTTTCAATGTGTTGATGAGGCGAAAACCAAAGGTAATTAATTGGTTCAACAATGTTTGTAAATTTATTTTTAACGTGATATATTGATTTTGCAGGAAAACAACTTCAAAGCTGTACTTGAGACTATTCGAGACTTAATGCAAAGTGAACTGGTGGTACCTGATTGGTTGCATAATGTATTCTTGGGATATGGCGAGCCAGGAAGTGCTCATTATAGCAGGATGCCTAACCGACCAAAGGAAATCGATTTTCGCGATACTTTTCTCGATTTCGATCATCTTAAAGAAAGTTTCCCAAATATGGTGAGATCTCAGAATGTTCATTAAATTATATAATAAATACAGATCCCTTATTGGATTATATGTTAAATGAATATAATATGGCTAAACAATACATATGTAGAAAATCGTACCAGCAGAAGGTCATAAAAAGTCCATTTCTCCACCATATATTCTTCAATTTCCTGAGTCTTCAGATTCCCAACCGACAAAAAAACGTAAGGCAGGAAAGGAAAACGAGACACCAAAAAAATCTAAAGCGAAAGAGAATCAGATTATTGTAAGAACTTATACTATGCCCAATATGGGTCCTTATCCTTTTAATCAGCCTCGAAAGAATACAATTAGGTTTACCCCGATACAAGGTATTTAGTTTTCGTAATACGCTTCCTTTTATTTTTATTTATTGTGAACTGAAATATTAAGTAATGGGATTAACGCCTTTTCTTTAATGGTTTATCTTGAAATTTAGTGGAGGCTATTCGCGCGGGAACTAATCCTGGGCTAACGATGGTAGTTGGTCCCCCAGGCACGGGTAAGACCGACGTCGCAGTTCAAATAATTGCCAACTTGTATCATAATTTTCTGGATCAACATACACTGTTGGTTACTCATAGCAATCAAGCTCTAAATCAATTATTTGAGAAAATAATGGCTCTTGGTAATTATTCAAAACGCTTTTTATTTCTTATTCATTTATTATTAGAAATAAAAGACTATTGATATATTACTATATTATAGATGTCGATGAACGTCATTTACTGCGATTGGGTCATGGGGAGGAAGAGCTTAACACTGAATTGAGTTTCAGTAAATATGGGCGTGTTAATTCTTTTTTGGTAAATGATTGTTCAAACTCTTATCAAATTTGAATTTGACCAATTTCTAAGCTAATATAATTATTTTTTCTTAGGAAAAACGACTGGCATTATTGGCAGAAGTTGATCGTCTTGCCAGTTCCTTGAGCATCGGTGGCGAATATGGTTATACCTGTGAGACTGCTGGATACTTTTATTTATATCATATATTATCAAGATGGGAACCATATATAGACAAATGTCGTCAACGAATGCATACCGAGGACGAAAATGTAGACTTTATTAAAAATAATTTTCCTTTCACTGCTTATTTCGCCAATGCACCACAACCACTTTTCCCGTCTGAAGCCAATTACGCCGAGACATTAGAAATAGTAGAAGGTTGTTTCAGACATATCGAAAAGATATTTACCGAATTGGAAGAGATCCGTGGGTTTGAACTATTACGAACAAGTTATGATCGAGCGAATTATCTTTTAACTAAAGAAGCGAAAATCATTGCGATGACATGTACACATGCCGCTTTGAAGGTTTGACAAGTTTATTTCTGGTAATGAATTATCGAGATGTCATGGAAATCTTGATATTTATTACAATTATGTATCAAATTTAGCGACGTGAACTTGCTACTTTGGGCTTTAAATATGATAATGTGGTGATGGAAGAAGCAGCGCAAATCCTCGAAGTGGAAACATTCATCCCATTGCTTCTTCAAGAGACCGAGGATGGTCGAAGTCGTCTAAAGAGGGTTATTATGATTGGGGACCATAATCAGTTACCCCCTGTTGTGAAAAATATGGCCTTTCAACAATATGGGAATATGGAACAGAGTTTGTTCACGAGATTTGTGAGGCTTAATGTTCCTACGATTGATTTGGATTCTCAGGTAAATTATTTTATGCTTATGCATTTTTAGGGAAACTTGAATCGATACAATAATTTATTGTTGCTATGTGTAGGGTCGTGCTAGATCTTCTATTGCTGAACTGTATAATTGGAGATATAAAAACTTGGGTAACTTACCTGTCATACACCAGCAACCTGAATATCAAAAAGCGAATGCAGGGTAAGAATAAAGAACACCAATTAGTCATGACCTTTTGTTATTAATTTTTTTCCTTTATAGATTTACATATGATTATCAATTAATAAACGTGGAAGATTATTTGGGCAAAGGGGAAACAGAACCAGTGCCATATTTTTACCAGGTATATAAAAGTTTTAACCAAATTAAATAGCTATGTTTATTCTCTTTTAAATTAATCCTTTATTTTAAACATTAAAAGAATCTCGGTGAGGCTGAATATGTAGTCGCTGTTTACCAATACATGCGATTGTTAGGCTATCCAGCTGATCGGATCACTATCCTTACAACATATAACGGACAGAAAGCGTTAATACGTGATGTACTAAAAAAACGATGTTCGTGGAATCCGTTATTTGGAAGACCTGCAAAAGTAACGACTGTAGATAAATTCCAAGGACAGCAAAATGATTGTATGTAATCTTTTTAGTTATTGCCCAGAGCTATTATTAATATTAAACCATAATAATCGTTGATGCTAACTATAAATAAAATAGATATACTTTTATCTTTGGTTCGTACCAAATCAGTCGGCCACATTCGAGATGTGCGGCGTCTTATAGTAGCAATGTCTCGAGCACGCCTCGGCTTATACGTGTTTTGTCGACGCGCATTATTCGAGAATTGTTACGAGTTAACGCCGACGTTTAATAAATTGTTGGAACGACCTGATAAGTTGAACTTGCGAATAAATGAAATGTTGCCTACCGATAGAGATGTATGCTTATATTTATTTTGTTATGCTGTTTTTTGGTTTTCATAATTATTTTGATTTTATTATATCTGTTTTTATATATTGTCATTAGGTGGGAGATTACAGCGAACCATACGAGATTACAGATGTGACCCATATCGGACAATACGTCTATCAAATGATGCAAGAACAGTTGCAGTTTGCTAAAGAACAGAAAGCAAAGATTGAGAAAGAGACGGCTGGAGGCGTCGAGAAAGATACAGAAATGAAAACTATGGATGAAAGTGATAAAGGATTATCTTCATCAAGTAATAGCAAACAATAAAAGAGGACGGCGAAAAATAATATATAGAAAGATAAAAAGAAACTATGCAGTAGATAGTGTTATTTACATAAACCAAATAGATACAACAAACTTTGTAGAGCATTTTGTTATGCCTAAAGGCTTTATTATTGTTAAATCTAGCTAATAAGAAGGCTAATGACTGATTGAATGCTTGTATTGCTTTTTAAACTTTCATGTCTTAATATATAACTTATAATGGACGCATATCGTAATAGCTCGGCTTCAACCTCAACAAACTATTCAAAACACCAAACCGTCGTTAACGTCACTACCACAACCACTACTGCCGCCGCCGCCCCTTCGCCAAAGTTTCAACGACGCAGTGGGCCCCTCATACCTAAAACAGAACAAATTAGAAAGCTTGTCAAACAAATTTTGAGTAAATTAAAGAAGTGCAAAAAACCACCAAGTGTATTCACGACTCTGCCTGAGTATTATAAGAATACGGAAAGAGGCAAGAATGCTAATAGTAATTTGGTGTCGTTATTGGGTTCGAGTGTAGGTACCTTAGGAGGGGGTGAAGAAATAATTATGGACGAACATAACGTATATTCCACTGATGAGATTTGTGATTTATTGATTGAATTACGTGATGTGTTGGTTGTTTGCAAATTAAACGGGATTACTTTTGGAGATAAGTGAGTTCTAAAAAATATCAAAATAGCAAATGGAGTTTTTTTATCATAGTTATCAGAAAATAATTTTTTGTTAGAGTTACGGTATTTCCATCTCCACCAGATTCACCATATTCTTCTCGAGAACCATCTCCAACGCGTTCTCGCTCCCCCTCACCGACAAGATCCGCATCCTCTGACGCTGCAATTCTCGATCGAATAATTCAAGTACTAGGCGACATAGTTCAAAACGACTGTCGATACAAGATCTCGATGCCCAGACCACTTCGACCCCCGAATTCATTACAAATAATAGCTTTGGACGTGGCATTTCTATTAATTGATCAGAATCCGTATTCTCCTCGTTGGCTTTACGAGCTGGGTATGACAATGTTATCGGCTTTTATTTTTTTCGAGGATAAATTAAAAGGAAAATTGCTAAGTTTTTATGGAAGGACGTTGTTGCCGCAGTTGATGGCTTGTGGTGGAACGGCGAAAAATAATTTTTGGGTGGAATCTGGCGCTGAGCTAAATAACGCTAATAATAGTAACCTTGGATCGAATCGAGAAAATCGCGGACGAATTGCTGAACATAAAGAAAAGAATTTGATAAAAGGTAAACGATAAATCTATGTGTTACTTATAATATTATAATTTAATAAGGATTATTGTTGTGCTATAGAACACGAAAATACAGGGCATATAAATATCACAATTCAGGATTCTAGTAAAGACGGCTACGATCCGCCTCCTCCCGTGTCGATAGAGATTCATTCACCAATAGACACAGACACACAAAATCAAAATCGATTTCAGCAACAATCACAATCGCAACATCAAATGATGTCAATAGCGTATAAAAAAGATATGGAAATAGAAGAATATTACGCTGATTCAATGTTCA